ATTGACAGGCTTTGCGCAAACTATCGCCCAGCTGGCAACGGTCCACCAACTGTTCGGCCAACGCCTGCCACTCAGCGTAGCTCCACTGCCCCCCATGCATCGAACATGCTCGCACTCTCCATGGATGCGCCGGTACAGCGCGGGAGGTCGCGGCGCTCCTGCCGGGCACCCCTTCGGGAACTTCTTCGGAATCCTGAGCTGCTGCTCAAGTGTTGCACAAGGTCCAGCAGCGCTCAGCTTCATCCGAGCCCCCCCCCCCCCCCCCCCCCAGCGCGTAGCAATGGGGCGGGGGGCCCCTGGATCCGCTCCGCCCCCGTGACAAGGCCCTCGAAGTGCACGCTGGCGACGATATAATCCAGCACCCGCCCCACGCCACAAGCAGATGTCCATCGAGCCGGCGAAGCGACCATCGCGGGAACGTACTGCACCACTTGAAAATCCCAAGTCAGAAAAGGGGCCATGTTCCAGTCACCTCCGACGATAAAAGGTCTGCCAATTCTTGTGAGCTGCCCCATGCACGTCGGCTGACGCACGCGAGTCTCCAGCCCATCTCGCTGAGGTCCAGCTTGAACCTGGGGCCTCTGCTCCCCCGCGACATCCACCAACTCGGAATGGCCCTGCTGGGCCTGCTCGCGCGCGTCTCCTCCGCAGACGGCCAGTCGATTTAGCCGAAGTTTTGCAAGCGGCAGCGCCTCCTCTGCACAACTCCTCGGGGACTGCGGCCCTCTCGTCAGTGGCCCCGTGGAGCGGGGCACCCTGGGCCGGGGCATCGATCGCGTGCCCGTCGGCGGCCTGGCCCAGGGATTCAGCGCTGATGCTTGCCTGGCGATCAGTTCCCTGGGCGACGCCGCCTCCCCTGCACCCCTCCGCGGGGCTGCTGCCCACTCGTCAGTGGCCCCGCGGAGCGGGGCGACCCTTGGCGCGGGCATCGATCGCCTGCCTGCGGGCAGCAGCGCGAAGGGAATCAGCGCTGCCGCCAACATGTCCTCCACCCACCACAACGACCTAAACTTCGACCCCATACTGCGCGGTAGCTGCCGGCCACCCACCTTGCAAGGCATCGTGCCATTGTTTAAACTCATCCTGCAAGCGGCGAGCCGCAAAAACAATATTCCATGCCGCCTCCCCCCAGGCCCCACCTGCAATATTCACAGTCGGCTCGCTTGCCATTTGCTTCAGCTTGGGCGCTTGAGCAGGAGTTGTGGGCTGGACCTGTTCACCGTTTTGCTGCGGCGGCGGAGTTGGCCACAGCGAGGGACTAGAGAGGTCGCGCCCCGGCAGCCTTGATCCGTTTGCGCTCATTTGCACTCATCCTCCTCGTCGGCTCCATCGAGCTCGAGCCCGGCCTCAAGTGAGATGTCCTCGCAGTGGCCCTCGTCGGGCATAGGAATATCAAAGAGAAGCAGCATGCCATCGTCAGGATCACGATCGCTGTCAGAGGCCACGTTGTGCATTGACCCGCCTTGCTTCAACTGCGTGCGTTTCCGCTTGGTCGTTGAGCTGCTGCTCGAAGGCGCCCAGCGCGTGCCGTAGCACTCGGAGGGGATATTGGAGACAGCTGCGGATTTTCTCGCTGCCTTTCTTCGTCTGGATGTTGACCACCTCGCCGCACAACGCCACCGCAGGATTGCCCGCGGGAGCATGCACTTCAACAGCTCCTCGCATGAATGCTTCAGCTTGTGTTTCTTTGATCCTCTTCCTCCGCTCCTCATTCTTGGCGGCAATAAGGTGTTCAGCTTCTCTAGCTCGCGCGGCTCCTTGCAATCCGAGACTTCGTTCCTGTAGGCGCCCCCGCGCTATGCCGAGCTTCTCGCTGATGTCCTGCATCCGCTGCCCGAGCTGGAATGCCGACGTGCCATTGTGGCTGAGAGCTGGCTGTTCGACTCCACTGCCTTGCCTCAGCACGCAACAGGGTCCTTGCGACCGTCGGGCCGCTGGGTCCTGTCGTCACCGTGTGTCTTGGTCATGTTCTCCAGCATGGTCCTGGCAATCTCCGGGTCGTACCCCACGCCGTTGTTGTTGCTGTCGCTGTTGTCTTTGTTCTTTGCATTGAAGGTGGGGTCGGTAGCCCCCGTTGCCCAGTTATTTGGCCGCTCAGGTTTGCCTCCTGCCCCGCGCTGCCAAAATGATGCGCTCGTACTCTTGGACCACGGCGGTTGATGCACGTGTCCAGCCTGGTCACCCCTTTCACACACCGTCCTGGGCGCCTGCTTTCCGCACCGCAGACACGAGGTCTTCAACCTTCGCGAACGCAGTGCCGTAGAGCCTGGCTCATTTGCCGCAGGGCCACGACGGGTGCCGCCAAACCATGCGTGGCTCGCCAACGCGAGCCCCTTCTTGAGGCGCACGCTGGCAATCCCAGACAAAGTGCCTGGGCCGAAAAGAGCTGGAAGAGGACGGGGGACAGGGGGGAGGCGGAGTAGGAGGAAAAGGAGGAGGAGGAGGAGGAGGAGGAGGAGGAGGAGGAGGAGGAGGAGGACGAGGAGGAGGAGGAGGAGGAGGAGGAGGAGGGGGAGACGGAGGAGGAGGACCCGTGTAAACCCAAGGGTCGTCAACGATGTTGGAAATAACCCTCCCTCCAAGCTCCCTGTCCGTAGGCCCCCACAACGGTTCATTTCCATTGAACAAACTGCCTCGTGGAAGACAACCGTTTGAAAATCCTGGATCATACCGACACTCAACGCCACGGATCAAACTGACTGCTGCGTTTTGACGATCCGGAATCGTGCCAAAACGCCCGAAACCGTCCAAAACACCATTCCTGGTACGCTGATCATGGAAACCCGCAGAACTCTTGCAAATTAGAGAAAAAACGAATGTGCGCGGCGCTACGGCGAGAACCACATGTTGAAAAAAAACGCTGCCAACCCGTGAAATTCGTGCAAATTCTTAAAACGAAAATGCGCGGCGCTGGTGCGAGAACCACATTTTGAAAACAACCCGCCCTCAATCCGTGAAGCTCTTGCAAATTAATGCAAAAGGGTGCGCGCGGCGCTAATGCGAGAGCCACATTTTGAAAACAACCCGCCCTCACACCGTGAAGCTCTTGCACATGTTGAAAACAACTGTGCGCGGCGTTACGGCTAGAACTTCGCGTTGAAAGCGACCCGCCTTCCATAGGTGAAACCGTGAAGCTCTTTCACATGTTCTAAACGAATGTGCGCGGCGCCGGGGCGAAAGCCACATTTTGAAAACGATCCGCCCTCAATGTGTGAATCTGTCGTCACGTTTAAGCTTCAGGGTCATGAGTGGTGAGGGAAACCTCATGTGAAACGCGCGGCCCGCCATAAAAACTGACTTCGGGGTGCGACAGGGATGCATTACTCTCAAGAAGAAGGAATGGAGAAGGAGGAGGACGAGGAGGACGACGAGGAGGACGACGAGGAGCGAGAGGGGATTCCCCCATCGCTCCTCGCCGCCCTCCTCGTCGCCCTCCTCGTCGTCCTCGCTCCCGGAAAGGGAAAAGGAAAAGGCCTTCCCAGAAGGTTCGGAGGCCCCCCGGCCTCATGAGGAGTCAACAAATCACGCCTTCCCCGCATACAAAAAAACGCATTTTCAGAGGGCGCGAGGGGGCTTCTCAGAAACCCCGCCGCCTCAAAAGAGAAGGCCTCCTCCTTTTCTTCCTCCTCATCCTCCCTCCTCCTCCTCCTGCTCCTCCTCCTCGTCCTCCTCCTCCTCCTGGCACGTCGCTGCGAACACGCCCTCTCCTCCTCAGCGCCTACCGCTGGCTCTGGCCACCTGCACCTTAGTCAGGGGCACGGCCTGCCGCGCCCATTCCTCGCTGAGAGCCCTCGGGGGCAAGTATAGTGAGCGAAGGTTGACAAATAACAGATAGGCGGCAGCTGGGACAGTCAGACTGGACTTCGTCGGGAGGGAAATACCCAAGCGACAAATCGGGCAGCTGTGAACATCATTAAAGAGGACCGGGCGGAGGAGGTCGAGGAAGCGGGGGCATGTCCAATAATGCACAAACGAATCACACGCCTGACAACCAAGCACACATGACTGGGAAATGTCATCATGAAAGCGCATGGACGTATGCCAACTGCCAGTGAGAGTCTTCCATATTGCGTTAGTGAGTGGCCCTCTCATCTTCAGGAGAAGGGCCTGATCTCTTCCCAATCCACAAATCACGAGCGTCAGGAAACCACCGGGCGAGACGAGTGGCGAACACCCGACCGAGATCATCAAGGAAGAGTTCGCAAAGAGGACTCGCGTTAACCTACCTTGGAGTTTGATGCGCCGAGGGGGTCGGGGGAGGTCAGCGGCACGGGTCAAGAGCTCCGTCGCAGCCGCCAGCGCGATCGATCCAGCAAGAGAGAGAAGGAGGGGGTTCGAGGAAACCCTGCGGCAGCATCTCCAAGCGTCTCTACAAAAGACGGGCAGGCCCAGAAGGTCGGAGCGGCCTTCCCCGCGAACAGGGGCACAATCTCGAGGTGTTCGTTCGCAAACTCCCTCAACTGACAAATAATGATAGCATGCGCAGGGAAAAGGTGGAGATGGCAGAGCGCATGAGGGTGCCTGCACACAAAGTTTCAACACTGACATCAGATGGTCCACCCCAAGCTCCGAGGTTGAACCACGCAGCTCGCGAGATAGCACAGTGTGAGACACGATAAAGAGAAGCGAGGGCCGCATGTTCCGCACGGGCGACAGGAGAGGGCAGGGCGGGGAAAGAGGGAGGCAGGGAACAAAACTGAGTAACGTAGCTGAGTGGAGATCGCTCGACTAGAGTGCAGATATTGAGTGATGGCCGCGGGCGAATTCTCCGCAGCAAACACAGCGCATCGCGACGCCCACTTCAGGATCGGCGCGTGCCACGACTCAGTAGTGCCCTCCTCCTCCTCCTCCTCCTCCTCCTCCTCTTCCTTCCCCTCCTCCTCCTCCTCCTCCTCCTCCTCCTCCTCCTCCTCCTCCTCGCTCGCCGCCGGCTGTGGGACGACGGCGGCGGCCGCGGCGGCGGCCGCGGCGAAATTGGCGACGGGCCGGCCCCCCCTCTCCTCGATGAGCTGCGCGACGTGGCGCTGCAGGTCGGGGCTGTTCGGAAACAGGCCCAGCTCCCCGACGATGCTGCAGACGTCCTCTTGCTGGGAGGCTGGGGAGAGCCCAGACATGATCGCGTCGTGACAAAAATCAAGACGGGAGTTTTTGGGCTGTTTTCGGCCCCTTGGGTCCCTCGCCGGGCCTCGGGACCGTCGAAGAAGGACTCAGGATGAAAAACCGGTCCTTGGGAAATAATCGGGACTTCCAGGGGCCCCGCATTGAAAAAATCAAGACGTCGCATGTCTGGGGGAAGACGCGCGGGAGCATAGAGGACACCCAGATGGCGTCGGAGTAGATGGGGTCGGGAGATCCCACCACATCGGCGATGCATTGGCGACATCGGCGACGCATCGGCGACTCCAGCGTGGAGACAATCGGGCTTCGCATCGAGCCGCATCGCCGATGCATCGCCGATGCGGCGCCATCCTCCGACCCGATCTAGGAGGACCCCATCTAGAAAGCCTCGAGAGAATCAAGTACCGATACCGCTGCCCTTGCCTCGTTTTCGGCCGCTGGGGCCTCCCGGGAGGTCGTCGTCACCACCGCCAGATTCGCCCCGAAGATCTGGTCAGAACGCGTCCTGGGATATGTCTGGGGAGAAATAGCGGTATGGGTATCGCGTGGTGCCCCAAGGACGGAAGCGAGGGAGAAGGGGGGTGCTGGGCCTTGTATGATATTAAAAGCGCAGACGCGTTTTTCAGTTTTGAAGATCGGCATGATCTTTCAATTTGGGGCGCCGTGTTGCCACGCTTTCAATATGGGGTTGGCTGATGGCCCATCTGTTCGTTTTCCGTATGTTTGTTCCCATGCGTTTTAGACGTCTTGGGTATCACATGCCACATGCCGCCTGCCCAACGTGCACATTCCAGGGTGCCGTTGTTGCTTGCAGCACTTTGGTCGAGTCAAAAGCAGACAGGGTGAAACTGAACAGAAACAACTGCAGCGATTTACAACAAACGAAAGACTAAGAAACGACTCCTGGGAGGTCGCCGTCAGAACGAGCAAGAACTACTGAGCCCGACTTGGGAGCCACTAGGCCAGATCAAGGCGGACGCAGCCGGGGAATGAGCCGGAATATGCGGGCCAGGGCTGCTGTGTGGAGGAGAACAAGCGGGGAAGGGACTAATGACAGATGGGCAGGTAGCTTGCGATGGGGGGGAGGGGGAGAATGGAGAGTCGTCGTCGTTGTCGTTGTCGTCGTCGTTGTCGTCGTCGCCATCGTCGTCGCCGTCGACGTCGAACCAGGCCGTGGGGCGAAACCGTAACCTGTGCTCCAAGGTCTCAGAGGGGCAAGGGGGCGGGCTGCGTGGCGCAGGCAGCCACTTCCGCCACCGCCCGCCCCGAACCCCGACAAGGGAGGGAGAAGGGAAGGAGAGGGGAGGGGGGAGGGCCAGGAGGTAACTCAGGAATGCACCGATCACTGGACTGGGAAGGAAAAGATGCCCAGGGATCGACCTGAAGTTTTTGTTTGCGTTTCCGCTTTGTTTCCGTTTTCCATAGTTTTGTCGTCAATCCACCTCTGCTGCAAAACGAAGTCGAAACGAAAACGGTCCGCGGAGGCCAAGAGCTCAGGAGGTCGAGAGCTCCGAGGGCATCAGATCTGGAGGGCCCCCCTCGACGGGAGAACCTACCCTTTCTGCGATACCCAAAGAGGCCCCGGGTCTTCGATCCAGGCACGGTGGCGGCAGGAACCAGAGGCGACTTTCCTCCTCCGCCTCCGCCTCCTCCCTCTCCTCCTCCCTCCTCCTCCTCCTCCTGCTCCTTCCTCCTCCTCCTCCTCAGACCTCCACGGTCATCATTTCACAACCATCCTGTGGTGCTGGGCCCTCGTCTGGAAGAGACAGCACCCAGCGTCCAATCCTTCCTTCCTACCTTCTGCCCGCTGTCTCCCCTCTAAGATGAAGCCAAGACGAGGATACCATCGGGCACGGAGAATTCGAGAATCTCCGAGATCCGGCGGCTCTGGAGGATGACCCCGGCGCTCCGCGGCCTTCTCAGAACGTTGCAGAGCGCTCTGAGAACGTTCTGGAACGCTCTCGAACCTCCCATCCCTGCCCCAGCCGGCCGCGTGTCACCCCCGCCGGGGGGCCCGAGGGCGCTCGAGAGGGGCCCGGCTCCTCCATGGACAGCTCGCCCCTGGTGTTTTTGCGGAAGCCCCGGAGGACGCCCTCCACCAGGTCCTGCCTTTGAGGGCACAAGTGGCAATCGATGGTCCTCGTCGGTCCTCCGTTGAGGGACCAGATGGCCCCTCAAAATGCTCCTCGATGGTCCTCGCCGAGCGATGCCCAGCACCCTTGGCTCCCTCCCCGAGGCCTCTCCCGCATCAGCTCGCGGCGCCTGGCCCGCACCTCCGCCAGCAGCCCGGCGAAGGTCAGCGCCCCGTCCTCGCCGTCCTCGACGCCCGCGGCCGCGCCGAGGCCATCGCCGAGGCCGCCGTCGACGGAGCCGCGGCGGCTCTCGCCCTTCGGCGGCGGCACGCTCACGCCCAGCCGCCCCATGAGGTGCCTCACCTCAGGGCAGCGGGATCCTGCCCCTCCTCATCCTCCTCCTCCTCCTCCTCCTCACCTCCTCCTCCTCCTCCTCCTAAACCTCCTCCTCCTCCTAAACCTCCACCTCCTCCTAAACCTCCTACTCTTCCACCTCCTCCTCCCCCTCCCCCTCCTGTTCCTCCTCCTCCTCCTCATCCTCCTCCTCCTCCCCCGGGGAGGGGCGGCGTGAGAGCGCGCCCTCCCCGGCCAGGACCGGGCGGGCGCGTGCACAGGGCGCTCCTGGGCCCAGGGCGGGCCGGGCCTGGCGTGCCATCGCGCGGTCGTGATCGTGCGTGTCTCTGTTGGCTCGACGATCCAGGATGCTCCTCGATGCCCTTCGCCAATATATATATATATATGTGTGTATGTATGCATACATGCATGTATATTTATGTGTTCGTATGTATGTACATTTGTATATACGTATGTATGTATGTATGTATGTATGTATGTATGTATGTATGTATGTATGTATGTATGTATGTATGTATGTGTGTGTATGCATGTATGTGTGTATGTATGTATGTATGTATGCATGTATGTATGTATGTATGTATGTATGTATGTATGTATGTATGTATGTACGTGGGTATATGTATATGTATATGTATACGTACGTGTGTGCGTATGCATGCATGTATGTATGTATGTATGGGTGTATGTATGTATGTATGTATGTGTGTGTGTATGTATGTATGTATGTATGTATGCATGCTTGTGTGTTTGCAAGAGTATATGGCTGTTTGAATGTGTATAAGTGTGCATGCATGTGTGTATGTGTGTATGTATGTATGTGTGCATGTATGGATGTGTACATTTATGTATGTATGAACTAAATATACGCGTGCGTATAGATGTATGGATGTATGCATGCATGTATATATGTATGTATGTACGTATGTGTGCATGTATGTATGCATGCATGTATGTATGTATGTATGTATGTATGTAAGGTTGTATATATATATATATATATATGCATGCTTGTATACATGCATAGGTAGATGTATGTATGGAACTATGTATGCATGTATGTTTATTGCATGTATGTATATATGTATATGTGTATATATATAACCTAAACGCATACGTTAGAACGATGCCAAGGCTGGGGCGATGGGTCCCGTCGCCCTAAATTCAGGTCGGGCATGTCATCGCACTACCTGATTCTGGAAGGACAAATAAACAAGCAAGATGCTGAACAATCGTCAGAAGCAATCGAGAAACATCGTCCCCTGATTTTTTTGCTGTTGCCTATCTTTGCACAGTCCTCCTGTAGAGTGACGTGCCCGACTCAACCCTTGCACCTCCTGGGCGCGCAGCCTGGGGAGGGCGACCGCAAGGCCCTCCCCGGCGGGGCCCTGCGGCGGCGGCGGCGGCGCGGGCGGCGCCGCTGGCGGCGCCTCCCGCTGGCGCTGCAGCGCCTCGAGGGAGATCCGACGAGTGCTGGCACCGCCGACAGCTGGAGACTTGGAAACGGGTGTGCCTCTCATTGGGGAAGATGATCCTAGATTTCGGCTTGACCCTGCAGCGTGTTCCGGCAAGCCTTTTCTAAGCGCTTCCCATTACGCGTGTCCGGAAGCTCTCCAAAGGTCCTTCGGAAGCTCTCTCCAAGTCCTTCCAAAGATCGTCGGCAGGCCTTCGCACGCCCTTTGAGCGCATGCTATTCGGGTTTGGGACCCCTCAAGTGATCATAGATTTCGGCGTTGGTGATCAAATTTCGGCCACCTAACACGCCCGAAAATGAGCACCATCGCCAACCTCCAAGCGAGTGGGGGGTTCAGAACCCCAACTCAGATTCTACACATCCGTGGATCTGTGTATTTTGACTGCGGCGAGCCAAGCCTACACATCCGAACACCGAGCTTCTACACATCACAGAAATCTGTGAAGCAAAACGCAAATTGTACACTTGAAGCAGGCATGAGCAACAAAAAGGGCAAAACGGACTGCGTTTTTTCGCGTAACGGAGCAAAGTGTAGAACTAGGACACAACAACTGTAGATCTACAGTTTCGGGAATCTGTCGAAGCCTGCTCCTCCCCAGAGGTCAGCTTTCTAAACGGAAGCGACGCGAGGGTCTAGCCGCAGCCGAACTCCAGGTCTGCAGGACACGGCCCTATTGCGGGGCGCGCCCCCGCCCGGCCCTGCCGCGCGCGTGCTCCCCTGGAGGCGGCGCGCGCAAGGGGGGGCAAGTAGGGGGAGGGAGGAGGAGGAGGAGGAGGAGGAGGAGGAGGAGGAGGAGGAGGAGGAGGAGGAGGAGGGGGAGGAGGAGGGGGAGGAGGAGGAGGAGGAGGAGGAGGAGGAGGAGGAGGAGGGAGGCCTCCCAGATGGGGTCCGAGTAGATGGGGTCGGAGGTCTGGAGGAGGGGTGGGGAGGGCGTCTTGTAGAAGGAGGCTGCTTCTCAGAAGGCGCCCGCCCTGCAGAGAGGCAGTGGCCCTTCTGAGAAGCCCTGCCTCCCTGCCCCCAGACCCCCGACGTCGTGATCTGCTCATGACGTGACCCCCAGAAGTCCGGACCCCTCGCCCGGGACAGATTTCTCATCCTGAGCTGTTTTTGAACGGTCCCGGGGCCAGGGAAGTGCCCCCAGAGCCCGAAAATAGCGAAACAACCTTCCGTTGCGATGTTTGTCATAAATCGAAGGGGTTTGGGCCCTAATCTTAAGTAGGGCATGTCGTCCGACAGGCGGATTCTGGACGACAACTAATCCAACATAGGTTTTAAGAAATCGCCCCCAGACTATGCTTTACTATGTTTGAGTACTCCTCCTGCATAGGGTGGCGCCAGACTTAACCCTAACCCCCCTCTGCGCGTGGCCTATCCCCGTCCACGCCGCGCGCCGCCTCTCCCAGGGACGGGTTCGGACCAGGCCTCTCGGGCCATGCACTGCCGATGCATCGCCGATGGACCGGCGATGGGCCTTCGACAGCAAATGCGACCGGTCCTCGGCGGGGCGGGCGATCGGGCCTGACTACCTACCAAGCCACCCGACCCAACCCGAAGACCCGAATGTCGGGTTGGCCGGGGTACGGGTTCCATATGCGGCTTTTCCATGCTCTCCGACCCTGGAAGTGGAGGGCAAACTGAAGCCTTCGGGTCGGGTTGGGGTGAATGGTGGGTGGTGAGGGCCCCTGTCGGCGATCAGTGGGCATTTGGAGGTCGACGCATCCCCCTTTGAGCCTACGGTCAGAAACTCTGGGATAGCGCGTCGCGGTGGCGGCCCCAGCGACACGCTGTGCCGTGCGCGCGGATAGCATGTCGCTCCGCTACGCGGGGCGGGTGGGCGGGAAAGGCTCTAGACGTTGACGCCTGGAGACCGCGAAGTGGATAGCCTGTCGCGCCGAGGCGCGCTGGGCCAGAGCAAGCGGATCGACACGCTGTCCCAAAGCAACCGGCCGCATCCCCCCTACACGTTGTTTGGAAGCAGCAGATAATAAAAAAAACAAACAAACAAAAAAAATGCAGTAGGAAGGTGGATGCCAGAGAAGCACAACACAGCAAAAGCTTGCCGCTACTTGAGCAGAAGAAAAATCGCCATAAACAGAAACTTTTGGCCCTCCGCGCGGATTGCCTGGATCTGCGCCGGACCCACCCTCCCTGGCGCGCGGAGCGCGCCAGGGGCGGCGCCGGGGACGCCGCCGTGGGGCCCAGCGCGGATCCAGGAAATCCACGCGGAACGTCAAACTGTTAATGGCGCTATCTCTCCTTCGATTGAAGTGCGACGGCGCTGGAAGTGCATCGGGCCCTGGGAATCCACACGCACACCCCTGCCACCGACCGATGTCTGCCGTCGCCCCTGGGCACTCGAGCCTCCTCGAAGAGGGCGTGCACCTCCACCAGCTGGCCGCGGAACTCGCGGCGCACCTCGGGCCCCAGGCCGTGCCGCCGCAGCAGGCCGCGCTCCCGCTCGCGATGGCGGGCCTCCCGGCGCTCCCGCGCGAGCCAGGCGGCGCGCAGGGCCTCCCGCGGAGCCACGCCGCCGTCGCCGGTCGCGCCCCGTCGCTCGTCGCTCGTCGTGCGCTCGTCGCGCGCTCCTCGCTCGTCGCCCGTCGCCGCCGTCGCTCGTCGCTCGCTCCTCGCTCGTCGTCGCCGGCTCGTCGTCGTCGACTTTCGCCACCGCGCTCGTCTTCGCCTTTCGTCGTCGCTCTTCGCCGGCGCTCGTCGCGCGTCGTCGTCGTTCGTCGCTCGTAGTCGACGCCATCGTCGTCGTCGTCATCGTCGTCGTCGCGATCGACGATGTCGCTCGCCCATCGTCGCTCCACGACGTCGTCGTCATCATCTTCGTCACCGTCCTCCTGCTCCTGGACCTTCTTCGTTCTCTTCAGGTGACGCCTTCGCCATCCCTCTTTCCACTGTGCAGCTTCAGCATGTCGTCGTCATAAGGCTCTTTTGACGTCCCATCCGCCGAATCAATGTGTGAGTGCGCCCCCTTCGACGACTTTCAGCTTCCAGGGCACGGGTTAACTTCTCAATCGAATTCCCATGCTTCGCTCTACTTTACGGCAGGCATTTGAACGCGTGATTTGTTCTGACCTCGCTAGTGTGTCGTTGCTAACCCACGCAAATGGGTCGTTCCATACGTTCGCTGGCACGGACCATCATAACTCAAAGACTGAACTTGTGCAGGACAGGATCCCTAGGTCAGAGACTCTCTGAGTAATTGTCTTGGCTTCCTGATTAGGCCAGTTCCTCTGTTGACCACACGTAACCATACTTATCCTCTCACTCGTCCTTCGAGCACACTCTCCTCCTCCTCGTCCTCGTGCTCGTTCATTTCGGCCTCGGCATCATTCTCATCCTATACCCTGCCTGCACTCCGCCGTCGCCCCTCCACCCACCACCTCCCTACCTCTGTTACCTCCCCTCCCCCGCTCCCCCCTCCTCCCCTCCTCCTCCCCCTTCCATTCCCTCCTCCTCCTCCTCCTCCTCC